GAAAAAAATAGAGGCAGAAAAATTCCAGGTCCAAGAAAAAAGAGTTTTAAGAAAGAGGAAAGAAAGAAGAAGGAAAAAAGATTGAAGGTAATTTAGAAGAAAAAGGAAACCCACCAAAAAAGGGAGGAGGAGGCCAAAAGAGGAAAGAAAATGATGCAAAAAAGCCAAAAGAAAGAAAGGGGGCCAGGAAAAAACGCGGGGGTAAGCGCGCTCCCCCCAAGGGCCCCTGGGTCCGGGGGAACGCGCGGTGTAAAAAAAAAAAAAAAAAAAAAAAAAAAACCAAATTATTAGAGGCGCGCGTGGGCAGCAAGCGCGCGTGGAGTACACACCCCAGACGCGCGCGAGTGCACTGCACGCACGCACGCCAAAAAAAAAAAAAAAAAAAAAAAAAGCTCCACAGAACGCGCGTGGCATCCACGCACCAACGCGCGCGTGCGCGTCACGCGCCCCAGCTATCTCTCTCAGCGCGTGCGCAGCACGCGCCCCACCCTCTCTCTCCTACTTTTTCTGGTCCGCGCGCCTCCCCATGCCCCATCAAATCACTACCCTCCCATCACTCTTTCTCTCTCTCTCCGCACATTAATTGCGCCCGTCCAATAGCTGCGCGTCCTCATTGCGCGCGCGACCCCATGCGCGCGCTCTCCAATGCGCGCCTCCTCTCCTACTTTGGACTGCGCGCAACTATACCCGCCCTCCACCAAATTGCGCGTAGATTTTGACTCGTTTGACCAAATCGCACGAGAATTTCAACGTGCTCCACCAAATTGCGTGAGCTCGTTTACGCACCTACCAAATTGCGTTCGCTATCAAATGGAAAATAATAAAAAAAAAAATTTATTTCTCCACACCGTGCCAACGATTAACGCAAGACTGCAGCACCGATCTACTCTTAATACGATCCGGTACCCCTTTCGACTTGGCTCCCACATCCTCTCGAGAGTGGGGGGCTTGCGAGATAACTCCTACGAGGAGCTAACCCCCTCTAGTCTCAAAACTACAGCGAGACAACTCCCACGAGGAGTCCACTCGCTCAATCCTACAGCCCGTTGCGAGGCAACTCCCACGAGGAGCCAACTCGCTCGGTCCTACGAACCCATAGCGAGACAACTCCTACGAGGAGACCACTCGCTCCATCCTACGACCCGCAGCGAGGAAACTCCCACGAGGAGCCAACTCGCTCGGTCCTACGAACCCACAGCGAGATAACTCCTACGAGGAGACCACTCGCTCCATCCTACGACCCGCAGCGAGGAAACTCCCACGAGGAGCCAACTCGCTCGGTCCTACGAACCCACAGCGAGATAACTCCTATGAGGAGACCACTCGCTCCATCCTACGACCCGCAGCGAGGAAACTCCCACGAGGAGCCAACTCGCTCGGTCTTACGAACCCGCAGCGAGATAACTCCTACGAGGAGACCACTCGCTCCATCCTATGATCCGCAGCGAGATTACTCCCACGAGGAGCCAACTCGCTCGGTACTACAACCTACAGCGAGATAACTCCCACGAGGAGACAACTCGCTCGGTACCCCAACCCGCAGCGGGACAACTCCCACGAGGAGCTAACTCGCTCGATATTACAAATCCGTTGCAAGGCAACTCCCACGAGGAGCCAACTCGCTCGGTACCACAACCCACAGCGAGACAACTCCCACGAGGAGCCAACTCGCTCAGTACTACCACCCGCAGCGAGATAACTCCCACGAGGAGCCAACTCCCTCGGGTCTACAGAACCACAGCAAGATAACTCCCACGAGGAGACAACTCGCTCGTTACTACAACCCGCAGCGAGGCAACTCCCACGAGGAGAGAAAACTCGCTCGGCACTACGAGCCTAGTGCAAGGCAACTCCCACGAGGAACTACCTCGCTCGGTAATAAGTCTCGATGCGAGACAACTCCAACAAGGAGACAACTCTCACAGAGCGACCTGAATCCGCATGCTCCCCAGTCGCGCGTCCAATGCTCCTACAACTTTGCTGCGAGGCAACTCCCATGAGGAGACAACTCGCCCGAAATTCACTATATAGTCGCAAGCTCAAGTTAGCACGATTACAACCCTAGAAACACTTAGAGATATTATGAGAATCTATATAGCCTGGCCAGCTTGATTACTCAAATTTATCTACTTGTTTTCGATGGGTCCTTCATTAAAACGTGGCCACGGTCCAAACATACTTACGACCCTCGAGGTCTAACAAGGGGCACGATCCCCATAAAAAAAATCTTGAGAGCCTGATCCCCTCCTCAAGTACATCACGCACAAAGCTATATGTAAAACACATACAAGCAACGCGTCAAAACATTGACAATGTCGATAAATAACAACTCCCACGAGGAGAATACTAGCTCCGTGCTACTTCATTATCACGAGACAACTCCCACGAGGAGATAACTCGATCAATTCTATTACCCCAGAGACAACTCCCACGAGGAGATTAATTGACCCGCGCTACTACATTATCGTGAGACAACTCCCACGAGGAGATAACTCGATCAACACTATTACCCCGCGACGAGACAACTCCCACGAGGAGATAATTCGCTACTACATCATCACGGGACAAAACCGACGACTCAATTAACTTACATCGCGACAACTTGGTCGTGTTATGCACCAATGCGCATTCACGCCCCTCCGACACACGCTCCAACGCGTTATCGCACATCATCGACTACTACAATTTTTACTCTCGACACGATATGTCACCCATTTCAACATGGCCCCCACATCGACTCGAGAGTGGGGGGCTTAATGATATGCCTAATTGGCCCAACCCAATGGGCCTACAAATTATTTACCTACTGGGCCACGAGCCCAATATCGAAGACCTTTATCACCAAGGCCCAATCACCTTCAAGTAAGGTTTGGGCCCGACAATCTCAACTAAGCTATAAATAAATGTTTGAACTCATTCCTTAAGGTACGTCCTATTAACTGAGCAATACAAAAACGCGTATTCTCTGGACTATTTCTATGATCAGCACGTCTGACTTGAGCGTCGGAGGGGTTTCCGCCGGATCAACCCCCGGCGTAGTTTATGTGTGCTCATTTTGCAGGGATCTCAGGATCATCAAGTTGTCAAGCTATTGATCTGCTTTGCTCTCCCAGCTCATTTTCTATGTGAGCTATATTTTAGCATCATCAGAGAGCATCCATAAGCCGAGTCAACTCGCCATCAAATCCCATCATCGTATTGGTAGGAGGTGTGGATGAAGTGGCCGGAGGCATTGCGTATGTGGGCTGTTTATCTTTGAACACTCTCCTTTCCTCTTTAACAGTAACAACCTTATCCTTGACAACATCCATGTCTTGTATTACCGTCTGAAGATCGAGCGACGAAATCGAACCGGAGTGAAGTTGTCCCACTAAATTTTCCTCTTCAACCTTCACATCCTTTTTCTTGATCGAATCCATCATTTTAGTTGCTTTCTTTAGGCCGCACAGTAGACCTATCGAATACATCGACTTGACAGCCTTTCCCTTAAGAGAATTCTTCGTTTCTTCGGTTTCTTCTTGTATGTCGATCAACGGGACCGATTGTTTTCTCTGATCGTGACCTTCATTTGATCCGGCAAGAATTTGGTCAACTAAATGAGACTCGATTACATCTTCGGCCGCATGAGCTGCAGATGCAATTCGGCTCTCCAATTCTTCTGCTTCTTTGCTACTTCCATGAGAATGACTAGTCTCTATAAAATCAAGCAAGAACGCAACCTTTTCGTGGAGAGATTCCGTCTGATTCCTGTCAAGACAAATCGAAAGGCGTGGATGATTTCGGACGTGATCAATAGTATTCGTAAGAGAAACTAGAGCTGCATAAGCTGCCATTTCGATCGGAAAGTATCGGAAAGCAGCAGATTATAGATTAGCCTATCGTTGCAAATTAATTGTTGATAATCAATCAGGATGAACTTGGTATTTGAGTCAATAACAAATAATAAGTGGCTATATTTTCAAAATTGACTGAGTCTTGTGATTACCAACAATTCTCAACCAAAATTGCAATAAAGTAATCCAGTATTTTACTTGTAAATTGTTCATGCAGGAAAACATCATAAAAATTGTCAATAAAAACACTTGACCTTTTCAACATAACTACGGAAGTTTGAAGGAAAAAGTAACAGAGTTAGTGACGATTTATTAATAGTGTCAGCGGGAAAAAGAGCACCAGGGTAATTAGAGCTTATTGCATTTTACTACCCTGTGAATATCGTGATTGCGTGTTTTCCCCCTGTTATAAAAAAATTAGCAAATACCCCTTGTATTTATTTTTCGACAGCATACTCGACCTATTTAAATTTTCTCCATTGACCGGTTGTAAAATGACCGAAGTACCCTGGTGGTTTCTGCAAAAAGAAAAATTGAGGACCAAATTGAAGTTTTGAGTACGGTGATCTCAGACAGAAGAGGGAACGGATCGAGTGCCTTTGGAAGATTCTAATCAAGAGAGAAATTGAAGACCAATTCAATCATGAGTTCTGGTTGCAAGATTTAGTAGAAGCAAGCATGGAGGTTGATAAGATGAATGAATAGAGTAGGATGGTATCCGATATAACTCTGTCAGAATTGCCAAACTATCAAGAAACCGAGTTTAGTCTTGTTCACTTCGCGTTGAAATGGAGATAGAGTTACGTATGTGAGATATCTACGATTTACAAGTCCGGATTATAGGCAAATCATTCTTACATTTGCATTTAGTCATTTTCTTTTCTTTACTTGTCTCTTTTTTTCTTCCATTTTATCCATTTATTGACTTGGGACGAATTCTGTAACACGGCTTTTTTGTTTTGCACTCTTTTGTTTTGTTGATTAAAACATAGTTTTATCTCCATAGTCGTTAGAGTCACGAGTGAAAATAGCCGCTATCTAGAGTATTCGAAACTTATGGAAGATGCTTGAAGCAAAATTTCCTTATTGATATCATGCAAATGAGTAGTATAGAGATATTGAAAACGTATAGTACGTACAGCTATACAACCAAATCCAACTTACGTTGAATCCCGATCGAGAGTGGACCGGGACCCAACGTCTTTCTATCGAGGAGCTCTGATTTAATTTTGATATTTTAGTTTCTAATAATAAACTCTGTTTTTCCCCTATAAAATCCCACTCCGCTAAAGAATATCAGGAATCGGAATTTTCGAAAATTGAAATGAAAAACACTTGGTTCCAAAAAACTGAAATTATGGATCATAAAATTTTATTCTACAAAAAAAAAAAAAAAAAAAAAAAAAAAAAAAAAGACCCCCAAAACAAAATAGAGAATACGGGGGTATTGTGGTAATTTGCGCTAGTTTACAAAACAAAAAAAAAAGTAGAGAATACGGGGGCATTGTGGTCATTTAGGCGCCGGAAAAACGATGTACATGCCTGTATTACTCTGTATCTATCGATTTCAGTTAGAGAGGGAAAACTAGATTTTGTTACTATAAATTGACACCAGTATGAAGAAGGCGGAAAACACCATTTTCATTTTTCCGATCTGCAGCAGTTACACATTCATCCAGAGTGCTTCTGCACCACTTCAATTAAACACACACACACACACACACACACACACACACACACACACACACACACACACACACACACACACACACACACACACACACGCACATTCGGTGTGATTTTAGTTCACCGGTGATCGATATGGCTTCTTCGCCTTCTGTGGAATTATCCAACGGCATCAACGGACTGAGTTCTGTCATTCTCCATCAACTAGCTAACGGCTTCACATACTCCGCCGAGGTATTTATTTTCCGTCAATTTTTTTTTCTTTCCGTTTCGCTTGCTTCGATATACGGAACGCAGTATATTTTGCTACTGGATTTCTCCGCAATTATGGAACTCAAGCGCTTTTGATTTCACTGTTTTGATCGTGATTTGATGAATAATAACCGTTCGATCCATATATATATATATATATATATATATATATATGTAGATTCTTCTCTACGGAGGTCAAGTAATTTCATGGATGAATCAACGTGGAGAAGAGCTGCTTTATCAGAGTGAGAGGGTACTTTTTTCTAGATCTCTGACTTAATTAATTACCGGTGGTGTTATGTTTATGCCTCTGATTCTGATAGATACATTTAAGTTAGGGATCGAAGATTAGATATTTACGGTAATCGTTTACGAAACTTGTTTGTGCAATTATTTCAATTCAATCATGGTGTTGTCTTCTTCATTAATTAGTACTAATAACAAATTACATATTTTTTCAATTTTCAGGCCGTTTTCGAACCTCCGCATCCGGTTCGTGGAGGCATCCCAATTTGCTTCCCGAGGGTTAATTAATTTGCTTCTTTATCCCTTTCTCGTCTCCATTTGCCTAATTAATCGTGTTTATTCGGTTTCGTATTTATCTATATATATATATTGATTAATTAGAAGAAATTAAAACTGTTTTATAATTAATAATCATGATCAGTTTTTCGGCTTCGGAGACGTGGAGGATCATGGATTTGCTAGAACCAGAATGTGGAGACTCGAGAATTTGATAGACGATATGGATTTCCCCCCTCCCGGCCCCGATAAAGCATTTGCTGATTTCATCCTCGATAATATGCCCGACGACTTCCCACACTGGCCTTATAACCATAGGTACTTGATTATTGATCTTTAATTAATTTCTACTTTTGGTATATATAATATATAACTATATATCATAAAATTGACATAATCTGTTTTTGTTGCAGATTCGAGCTCCGTTTACGTGTTATCCTGGCACCCTGCGGAGATCTGACTATGATATCTCGTGTCAAAAACGTCAACACTAACGGGGAACCTTTCTCATTCAAATTCGTCTATCACACCTACTTCGCTGTCTCGAATATCCGGTAATACTAATGGCATTATGTTACTGCTTTTTCTTTTTTTATCTTTTCTTCGATTATTATTATAATTGAAATATTGAACTTAATATATAAATCCCGTTTTCCAGTGCAACTCAGGTTGAAGGATTGGAGGGGGTGGGTTATGTGGACTGTCTGGAGATGCACGAGCGATTTGTTCAAGACGATGATCCAATCACTTTCGTAAATGAAGTATATATATTTATATATATTTATACCTAAGTTTAATTAATTTAGCTATATATAATATGTTGATGAACTCACTTTAATTTCGCCGTTTTTAGCTCGACAGGATATATCTGAACACTCCTGACGAGGTCACTGTTAGGGACCGTCAGTATAGACGAACTTATACCATTACTAAAAATGCTGGTCTTCCTGATATTGGTAAGGTTTTTATGTAAATATTCTAAGGTGCCGAATTTATATATATGCAACGAATTATTTGATAAAATGTGCGTTTATTTGATTTTGTTTCTTCTTTTGTAGTTGTGTATAATCCATGGGATTCAAGAAATTTAGCTGATTTAGGAAATTATGAGTATACGTGGATGGTTTGTGTTGAGGCAGCTGCTGTGGATAAAGAAATTACGTTGAATCCCGATGAAGAGTGGACCGGGATGCAGCGCCTTTCTTTCATGGAATTCTGATTCATTTGATGATCAAATATTAACTGCAGTTTGTTACTTGCTAATTCTGTTTCCCCCTATGCATACATGTAATATTTTGTTCATATAGACAAATATGGTTCGGCGGAAGTTTCAATTAGTAAAACGAGCTTACGTAGCATTAATTGAGAATTCACAAAATCCAGATTTACGCATCGTGAAATTGTGTTTTATCTGAATTTGATCCCACCCGAAAACGATGGGTAAGAGCACAATAAATATGTTAATATTCACCTCACGTAACAACTCAATAAGGCTTCGTTTGGTTGTCAAGATAGAATTAGTAAAAATTAATTAAATTATGCAATCTTTTAGAGACAAATTGTATAATTCTCGAGCCAGTGATCTGTTAAAAACTTATTGAACTTATAACCAAACATCGAATAGAGCTTGATTATCTTATTTAACCATATTTTATCTTGTCGACGAAACTAGGTCTAATTTTCAGAGTCGTGAGTTGACCAATATGCAATTATATGTGCATCATCATCGGCCGCTACGAGAGTTGATGACTGGATTTCAAATTCGGGAGGAGACGAATTTCCTGTGACAGTTGACGGTTGGGAAATTTGCCCTATTTGGTGAAATATTGAATGTGATGTTTGGTGTTAGCGATCCATTAACATCCGTTTTACGTGCCCATATTTACATAATGAAGCGGTTTATTTAAAAACGGATTAAGCCAAACGAACTTGATCGCGTATTCACTATAATAACGTTTCGTATATTACATATATACGAGGCATTAGTCACATACTAAACCCTGTCACAAACAGAAAATAACATAACCCTTCAAATAATATATAGTTTATCATACAATATAATATAGCGCACATACACACACACACACACACACACACACACACACACACACACACACACACACACACACACACACACACATATAGTTCTTACAAATTAGTTGTCTCACTATGGAAAATTCATAATCGTATCAATTCCGAATCTTTTAGGGCACCTACTCGAAATATTGTTCCGTCTCAACATTTGGTCGAAAAAAACCTCCAAACTTCCAATATCACCCGTATCAAAATCTCCCCGGGCAACTTTCTTAACCGTGCAAAACGCGTAATCCTTGTACTCGTCTTTAGCACAACACTTGAACTTATCGGCAAGAGTGTATTCTTCCAAGATCCACCCCCGTTTCTCGCGGGTCTTAAAGCAATTGAACCTTTTCAACAATCCAATGGGCTGCTTTCTGCTGTCGAAAATGGTGATTTTGTCGTACTCTTTCCACGTAATTCATTTTTTGAGCTTATAATTAGACGACGACGACGTGAAGAAGTGGTACTCGTGATCCGCGAGACCCTTGAATATATTCCACGGCTCGTGTTCGCCGTAGAAGTCGTCGATGGTGGCGACGAAGGTGGAGTTGTTGCATGGCAATTGTTTGCCGTTGACTTTGTAGAGGAGATAAGCTAACTTCTCCTTTTTAGTTGGTCGGAATCTCAGTGCTATTGGGAAATTGTTGTTCTCCATTGTAAGATTATTATTAGAGATTGGTTGATGCTGTTTTTATGTATAATTTTGCATGGAGGATAATTAATGAGAATGATTTTCTTGAGTTAATGTATATAGAGAACGTGCATGATTATTTATTGAAACTTGAATGAATGATATATATGTATTGTATTTAGTAGTAAGATAGCACGTGATTTTTCTTGATCCATAAATTAGTACAATGTAATATGCACGGGAAGCATTAATTAGGGGTGTAACTCCGAAAGGCCTATCGAAATTAGCCATTTCGAAAAAAATCAATTTTTGTGGAAGTGAAAAATTAATTCCAAAAGAATTTGGGAAAATCGGAAATCAGACATCGGAATTTTGGAAATTGGAACGAAAAATATGTTCCAAAAGTAGAAAATTCCGGATCGGAATCGAGGGAATTTGAAAATTTTCCATTTTAAGTCACCTAAAATATGAAATACCTAAATAATATAGATATTGTAAGTGTTATATTCGGGATTTGTTTTTTTGGAATATTCGGAACTTAAAATCGGATTGAAAACTGAATCTCTTATATATTCCAGTTTCCATCCAAAGAATTTCGAAAAAATCGGAAATTAGAGTTTCGGTATCCGGAAGCAAAATTATTGTTCCAAAATCAGAAAATTTTGGATCATAATCATTGGAAACCGGAAAATCCCTTCCAATTTTGACTGTTTATTTATTATAGTTGCTTGCATGTAATTACAATATATTTCAATTTCGAAATAATATTTTAGGGGGAATTCGAATCTCTATAGTCCCTCGTCCTTATTAGTTATTACTCAAATATTTAAAGACCGTCTTTTTTCAAAGAGAGAAAATTAAATATTTCATTTTCTATGTGGACAAAAATATCCCCGCCTTTTAGTAAGAGCATCTCCTATCGATCTCCATATCACCATTTTTTCCAACTAATTTTGGTGTTTTTAGCCTCTCATCCAAAATTCTTTTATATATATATATATATATATATATATATATATATATATATATATATATAAACATATTTGTAGACTTTATTCTGAATTGAAGCTGAGTTTGTAAATGTTGTTACCTGTGATGAACTTGTTCTGTTCATGCAATAAATATAGTTGGTGTGCCATTTTCTATTTAAATTTTATTTGGTAGTAGTATTAACCATACATGATTAATTAGGGATGGCAATAGCTATGGTTTTACATATATATTTTTCACGGCTCGGGTCTCAAAGTGGTTTAATTTATTTAAAAACGGACCAAGCCACGCAAACTTGATCGCGTATCCACTATATATAATCACGTTTCTTATATTACATATTATACGAGGGCTTAGCCTACATATCATTATTACTAATTATAGACATATATAATATATATAGCATGTATTCGAAATAATGTTTTCGGAAACCCCAGTCGCACTATTGCGAGTTCTCTCTCAACGTTTGATCGAAAAAACCCTGCAAAAGATTTCTAGTTACCAAACCCGAGGAGGAACCTCCCGCATCTCGACCGGACACTTTCTTAACAATCGTACAAAGCGCGTAATCCTCATTATTTTTCGGTACGCAACACTTGAATCTATCGGCAATAGTATATTCTTTCAAGATCCATTTGCGACTCTCGTTGGCGTTCCTCTTGTTATGGTACCGGAACTTTCTCACAGATCCAATGGGCGGGTCGTGTCTCCCGTTCATCAGAAAAATCGAGCTTTGGTCGTAGAATTTCCATATTCCTTCTCCCACGGGCTTTTCACTTTGCCCGACGTTGTTCCTGAGCTTCGTGTAGAAGTTGTATTCTTGGTCCGCGGGCCCCGCGGAAATCTCCCACGGCTCTTTGCACTCGTCGACGTCGTCGATGGTGTTGATGGCGGCGGCGGGGGTGGTGAATGGGAATGGTCTGCCGGCCATTGTGCAGAGGAGATAGGTTATCTTCTCCTCTTCAGTTAGTGGTGTTGAGGAATTCGCCATTGTTGATTATTAATTAATTAATGAATTAATTAATTAGATGATTTTTTTTAGATGATCAAGAGGATTAGAGACTGCTGCTTTTTATACTATATGTATATTTTTTAGAGGGGAATAATTAATTAATGAGAGTGATATATATTGCTTGAGTTAATGTTGAAAGAATAATATATAGCATGATGGTTAAATAAATTAGTGTTTTTTTTTTTTTTATGTTGTATTGTGTACATATGAATGTAATAATGGTAATTATGGTGACAATCTTGGGTGATTTTCTTGGATTCTCGCATGATGCTAAATATTGTGAATTAATTGAAGAAAACAAATCGAATTGCAAATGAATAAATCAATCTTGCATAAATTTTGATTTTGTTGTGAATAAATCAATCTTGCATAAGATTTTTTTTTTTTAAGTTTCTTGCATGAAACAATTAATTGAAAACTATACCGTTTCTATTTCAATCGTGATTTTGACTATTTTAGAATCTGAATTTGGCAAAATTTATAATACGCCATTTGTAGTTTTTTTTTTTGACAGCAAGAATAGCAATATTATTAGGCCACCATGGCCAAGTTCAGAGGCAACGAGAAATCCTCAGTACAAATAAAAGAGCCTTGAGTAGCTAGTCTATGAGCGAGAAGATTTCCGGAACGTTTAACAAATTGAAATACACAATGAGAAAATAAACGAGCAATAATTAAACCTTCTTCAACAAATGAGCCAAAAGAGTTGAGCGTGAGAATCCCGTCTTTAAACGTGTTGATCACCTCTAAGCAGTCTCCTTCAATAATGATTGAGCTCCAACCTTGGAGTTGGGCCATCCTTAGTGCATGAAGAACAGCAAAGGCTTCACCATCCTCTACCCGTGGACAGCCTTCCAAACTTCGAATACCCCAACGCAAACAATTGCCTTCGCTATCTCGAGCCACAGCCGCTACTGTGTAGAAATTCTTCCCCGATGGAAATCCAACATCACAGTTAATTTTTATCGACCCAATAGGAGGCGCTTTCCATTGACTTTGGTGTGTAGCTTCGATTCTAGTTGCTGATGGAAGTAGTGTCTGCCAGAATGCGTGTAGGTAGTCCCGACTCCAATCCACCATCCGCTTTGACTTCAGCCCTGTCTCTCCATGCACCACTTTATTCCGTGTTTCCCACCCCTTCCACATAACCACCACAGCTAGTAAGAATAGCTCTTCGCGAAGTTTACTTTGTAGCTTTTCGATCCATTTCCAAACAGATGAGTAATCTTCCAGCTCTAGTCTAAATGGATCCGATTCCCAAACTTCCCTCATTCCACCACACTCAGTTAGAGCATGCATAATGGATTCCACGGGAGACCCACATCGAGGACACTCCGGCGAGTGAATAATTTTGCGTCTTCGTAGCTCCGCGTTTGTCGGAAGTATGCCCCAGCATGCATACCAAAGAAAAACCTTAATTTTCGGTGGGACTTTAACCTTCCAAATAAGTTGCCATCTCCAAGGATGAAGACCACTTGTCGACTCTATCCCACCTCGGCAATTACCATTCGAGTTTTGAGTCCCCTGCATAACGACATGGTAGCAAGACCGAACTGAAAATAGGCCATTCTTGGAATAGTGCCATATCCATCGGTCTTTAACGTATACACTTCCAATAGGGACTTCCAAAATTCTGTTTTGATCAATATCCCAAAAATGCTCCCGAATGAGCTCGACATTCCATGTATTTGTCAATGGATCTATCAGATCAGCAACTTTGTCTGGGAAGCTCGAATAAATGGGCCGTCTAGTAATAATCTGGAAATTACCATCATCTCGCAACCAAGGATCGGCCCAGATTGAAGTGTCCTTGCCATCTCCAATACGGCGACGAAGCCCTCTAATTAGGAACGGGCGAGCCTTGAGCATACTCTGCCATGTCGCCGACGGTCTTTTGCCTGCATCAGCTCTAAAAATATCTCCACTTGGAAAGTATCGAGCTCTGATAATACGTGAAAGAAGCAAATCCGGGGACGTCAACACTCTCCATAATTGTTTCGCCAGCAAAGCCAAATTAAACATCCTAAGGTCCCGGAAGCCCATACCACCATTCCGCTTGGATTCACACAAGTTGCGCCAAGAAATCCAATGGATTTTTCGCCTTGAGTCCTCGCCCCACCAAAACCTTGCGATAGCTGACTCGATTTCTTGTAGTAGCCCATTCGGAAGGACAAAGCAGCTCATTAAGTATGATGGGATTGCTTGTAGAACGGATTTGATTAGAATCTCCTTCCCCGCCCTAGATAGATGTTTCTCGCCCCATCCTTTAATTCTACTCCACACTCTATCTCGGAGGTGCAAAAAGATCTCTCTACGAGACCTTCCCAATGCCGCCGGCATGCCGAGATATTTTTCATGACTGTCCACAACATGAAATCCAAGAACACCGTGAATACGATCGATTATGTCCGGATTGGTCGTTGGGCTGAAACACATTGTCGTCTTTTCAAAGTTTATCTCCTGACCCGACACCAAAGCATATTGAGTCAGAATTTCCTTAAGTTTCGAAGCCTCGGATTCCGTGGCTTTGCAAAATAGAAGAGTATCGTCTGCAAAGCACAAATTGGAAATAATAGGTGCTGCTGGTGCAATTTTCACGCCACTAAGGTCATCTCTCTCCACTGCCCGCTGAATTAATGCAATAAGAACATCTGCACAACATATAAACAAATACGGGGACAAAGGGTCACCCTGCCGGAGACCCCTAGAGGGTGTGACAGCTCCAAACTGGGAACCATTAAACAAAAAGGAATAAGAGACGGTTGATAAACAAAGCATTATAAGATCAATAAAATCAGGCCAGAAACCAAGTCGGGTAAGGGTTTTCTTTAGAAATATCCATTCAATTCGATCGTAAGCTTTGCTAATATCAAGTTTAACCGCCATAAAATTCGAGTTTTTGCTAGTGTTTGTTCGAATAAAATGATTAACCTCGAAAGCGACTAGAACATTATCTGTTATAAGGCGTTTCGACACAAAAGCAGATTGGGTTGGAGAGATGATACCAGGCAAAATTGGTTTCAAACGATTAGCTATACATTTGGACCCTATTTTATAGACCACATTACACAAACTTATGGGCCTATAATCAGTAATTTTCTCCGGGGATGATAGTTTGGGAATGAGCACAATATAGGTGAAATTAAGGGTCGATGGAAGAATTCGTTTATTAAGAAAATCAAGCACACATGCAATGACACTAGAGCCCAAAATGTGCCAGTACTTAGTAAAAAATAGAACAGGAAGGCCATCTGGGCCTGGAGATTTCAAAGGGGCCATATGAAAAAGAGCATGTGTTACCTCTTGAGTCGTGAAAGGGGCCATTTGTAGTTATGTGAGTTAGTTTTTTAATCCAACTTAAATCACCAAAATTTGATGTCGGGTGAGATATATATGTATGAGTCAATGAACACTGCACAAATGTAACTCATTAATGCATAACTCTAACACGCAACATCCAATTTAGTTGATTCAAATTGTATTAGAAAGTTAACTTAAATGACCACAATTTTTTGGAGTCAAAACAGTAATTGTAAATAACCGAGTTTCTTAACACAAAATTCTCATGTTTCATTTTTATTCCTAGATTTTTTTTATGGTCTTTGTATTTGAATTTGATAATTTGGCTCTTTAGTATTATAGAATTAATCACAAAAGGAGCTCTATGCGTAAAAAACAAAATCTTGCAAAAAATATATTGAAAATGAAGTTATGGACTTGTGGTTGAGGAATGAGTTGATAACTTAGAACAAGGTTGATAATTAAGAGATCCTCGTTTTTTATTTTCGCCTCGGGCCTCCAGAACCATGGGACGGCCCCTGCATCCTCACTCCCACAGTTCTTGTGTCCTGCTCCAATCACAACAATTAATTGAGCAAGCCATTTTCAATTTTTAGCTTTTTTTTTTTTTAATTTCCTCTAATTCAGGAGGGCACCCTTCTTTAGAAACATCGTTTCACTAAATAGCTTCCAATTTTTATCTTCATCGGAAAATTTCAATGAGTAGTAGGACGAGTAAAACTGAACAACAACATTTGACACTAGTGGTTAAGATAATTTGACTTTCATTACTATCTAAAATGTTGGCCATCACATTAGACTAAGTTTTGATTTATTTTCTAATGTCCAAATTAATATTTCTAATCCTCAAAGTCTAGACCCAATTGTGAGCTCAACTTCTTTATTTTGTTATTTGTTTGATGTTGATCCTAGTAAAGATTTATTGTTGGTGGTAATAATTTTCTTTGAGTAATTGTGATGAAGTTGGACTTTGAATAACACTGTGTATCTATATTGTGTACTATAGTAGAAAGTCGATAAATTAATAACATCGTTTAAATAATTACTTCTCTCAGTCTTGATTTGTTGAAAACGTATTAAATTATTAGTTCGATAATTTACTATTTTGTTAAATTAATAAAATTTTGCTAGTTTCGACTGTATTAATTTATAGAAATTTAATTATATATGTATACTATTTTTAAAGGTTGGTACTCAGTGCAAGAATTTGGAAATGTCATAACTTGTTCATTAATTTAATATGCATTAATGCAAATGCAATACTTATAACTTGTACCATGGCAAAAGTGGAGCATCAATAAACTCTGAACTTAGATTATGAAAAGAAAAAAAAAAACTCTGAACTTAGATTAAATTATGAAAAACAGGTTTATCTATTTATAATTGTCAAAATCCTCCTATGTTTGTTCCCGTCTTACACCGACCTCTTTATGGTGTGATTTTTAATGGAATCTTTTTTATTCCAGTGAATATTTCGAAATTTTTTTGCTAATTCTGCCCTGATAGATGTGATATTTATTTATGCTACTTTTTGAAGATAAAAATTAACCTCACAAGGGTAATGATAATAGTAACAAGTTGGGAATGGGTGTTATTCAATAAGAATAAAGATTCCGTGTAAAGGAACCTCTAAGATTATTTTTTGACTTTAAAAAGTATCATACATAAATGCCACGTCTGCAGGGGTAAATTCGACATTTTTTAGAAATAATTTCTCGGCTCAAAAAGATTCCGTGAAAATCACACCATAGGGGTGTCGATGTAAGATGTAGACAAGCGGGGGAATTTACCATAAGGGTAAATTCGGCATTTTTCGGAAATAATTTCTCGACTCGAAACGATTCCGTGAAAATCACACTATAGGGGTGTCGATGTAAGATGTAGACAAGCGTTGGGGGAATTTTCATAATTATAGATAGGTTGGGGTATTTTTATAATTTAGCATAAGTTTAGGGAGGTTTTCATAATTTATCCAAATATATCTTCGATTAAATTTCTGATTTGACAACAAATATACATTCTTCATTTCTCGTCTATTATGTTATAACAATATTCTTCTTCTATATTTGTCCTTATTTCCTATTTCTTACATATTCAGAATATTAAAAACCAAAAATATTCTGAATTCAAATTAAAAGATAATTGTCATTTTCCAGAGATAATGGCTTCGCTTTTTTTGCTGTTTACATCCTTAATTAACTTGTGGGTTAAATTAGATTTAAACAGCCAAATCATTTAGAACTAGTGACAGTGAATCTAAGCATCCATTGGTGTTTTCCTCTTCGGGTTCGGGTTCGGTGGTGTCGACGAGTCCTGTGCTTGGGCCTGACCAAAAACTGATCTGCAGTTTCAAATTCAAAAAAATAAATCGGAATTTTTTAAAATCAGAAAGAAATTATTCCAAAGTCAAAAACTTTCGGATCAAAATCAAAAATTCAGAAATTCCGTTTTCTACTTCTGCTCCTAATGTAATAGCACATATAATTTATTAACAGTGCCGTCTTCCACAAAACTCTCCACTATCCGTTTATCGAGACTTCGGTACATTAAATTTCATTGTACTAACAGTCTGGATCAGTGCACCACAATTTACACAAGAATTTCACTCTGCGTGTAAATGAGTGAACTCCGACTAATCACAAGCAAAACTCACCAGCCTAACAGGTAACATGCTAAAGAAAGAACCTTCATTTTCACGAGCACCGAGTGGAATGTTAACAAATAAAAATTGTAAAAGAGAAAATCGGAACTCACCCGCACGTAGAGCACTTCTTCTGATGCTTGCAGAAAATCGATAGACAAACAGAACATATGTAGCCCATATCTATTGTGTTTTTGTGGCAAAAACACCTGCAGATTCATAGCACAATAAATTAACAAGGTCTTAGTTTCTGGTCGAACTAGAATATAATCATATATTCAGAAGATTATGTTCTAGTTTAAAAGGAGAAAAAAGAATAAGGCCTGTAGTAGAGAAATTAGTTCCATATTTCTCATAATCATAATTTCCTATATAATTCGAGTTCCGATCCAAAAAAATAATTGAAAACCAAAAATGGGAAATTTGGAACCTTACTAATTTCAAACGAACAATGTTGGAAGCAGAGTTGTCAGAACTTCCAGCATACAGAACTAACTTTTTAGGGAGACAGGTCTTCGTTGCGTATATTATTTAAGAGATATTTTTTTACAAAACCACAAGAAAATATTACTGGTGCAACTATTCATTGACAAGGTGACATTGAGGAGATTATCAGATTAACTAATATACATATTTTATCTTCTTCGGCAAAGTCCAGTTGGCATATCAAGAGAACCAGAAAAAAATGTTAGAACGAAAATTTTAGCTAGCATACTGTATCTTCAGAAAATGTGTATTCTGTAAAACGTTGAAAATTGCACACAAGACAGGGATACTTGCGACTAAGATCAACTAGGTGAACATCGACTTTTTTAAAGCAACTTACGAGGCACGGAAATCCACTCCTGCAGGCTTAGGAAGTTGTAAGAAGGCACGAGAATGCAAATCCGTAGCAAAAACTGTCTGCATATGACATTGGTCTCACATTAGTACCGGACAGAGCAAAAATGTCTGGTCTCACATTATTTTATCTAGTTTACTATAAAACTGCATAATCAAACTCCAAACTACGACATGATTTTCATAACTCAGAAACGTAAATGAACGGGTTGATTAAGTTAAAAAAATCCAATTTACTAAATATATCATATTATCTTATAAGCAACAATGTGATTCGACCAATGTTTCATGAACCGGGTTGGACCAGCCAGTTCAACAAGGGATCAGAAGCCCAATCACCCCAATAGCATGGTAAGAATCAGGTTACCAATTGAACAAGTTGACACTGGACAAATCGCTGGTTGAACTAATCGATATTTTTATGGTTTTTTGATTGGTTATTAATTTTCTTTTTGACATTTAAATTCAGAAAATAACGATTAGAGTATTATGTTACCAATTTACGTAGTATGATCTAAAATCTAAAAAGGGTTATTAGGGGGCAGTTCTGTCCAACGAGCGGTTGAATTGGTCTGACCAATTAGACCGCTGGTTGATAGCTATACATACATATCTATTTTATCTGATTGGTGTTTGCTTCATACAGCTTACTACAAAATTATTTAAGTAATTTATTTATGACAGTTACTACAAAAGTTCTGACAGCTAAAAATTGGATAATATTGACTGAATTTACTTTTTATGGCTTAAAATATCCTTGAAAATAAGGAGGAATGGATGCTCTTTTTATCTTGTGCATCTCAATCTCTAAGTCATGTCACATTTTTCCAAAATGTGACATTTCACGAAACACGATTTTTGCATAAATGTTCTTAATATTAGAGTATGTGCATACTTCGAAATATCGTATTTCTCGCAACAAGAATATATCAGAAGGCTCAAGTCATATTGCCAATATGAAATATATCTTACCGAAAGATACTGAAACAATCCATCCAATAGTTGAGGCTTCAGATAGACGCCACCAGTTATGTAAGAAGCCTGTGGTAAAAATACGAACAATTAACAACCAATTAAATGATATACTCCGTATTCTTATTGGAGAAATGGACAAACACACACATAACATTGTATAGGCATACTACCTGCTGCAGGAAAGCCGAATGTTGAGTTCCTATAACGCATGCATCTATAGGGACCTGAAAGAAGAAGAAAGGTAGCAAATATCAGCAGATGCTTATTAACTATTTAAGATTATTGCATGAACGGGTTCCGAAGAGAGAAAAAACGACAAATGGAATCTCATGACACACAAGGAACCACAGCTAGAGTGCTTATATTTAACGAAAATATTCTATTAGAATTGCAGTGAATGTAAATTAGAACAGACGTCTTAAGTTCCACTACTTACCATTGAGCGTTGAGCGGAGAAAATTGAGTTCATGATTGCAACATATCTGAACAAGGAGAATCAATTAGCGTAAATGTGGGTGGAGAGTAGAGAAGGTTTTGATGCTGCAAAAAACTAAGTGACATACTGTCCAGGTCCGTCTGGAGATCCGTGTAAGCATAATATCTGCAATTGTATGGAGTAGTTCATCATCGAATATTATAGTTACATAATATGGATATAACTTTTCACTTAGTCCACACTAGAGACTGATTTTGCTAATTAACTACCTCGTATTCTAACCATTACAATTCGATAAGAATCCTCTTGATTAATCAGATTTTTAGGAAAGAACATACTTAGAGGTTGACCAGCCTATAACTTTTTCTCTCTTTCGCAATCACTACAACATTTATGAAGCAACTATTCAAGAAAATGAATAATTAACTAAATCCATTATTAAACTCACCCGAGGATGAGGATGTAGCGGCCCTGATCGGAAAACCCTCTGTATATCTAATTCAGTCATCCAAAGTCAAGAAAACATATGTTTTCTAGTAAAAAGCACACACTCAAGTGGCACTAACAATAGCATCATGTATTATGTTAAATTATACGAGAATTTAGAATTTAGGGAAAAAAATATAAGGAAGTGGTTTTCTGTGAGAAGGATACAACATAGGGCCATCGAAAGGGAGCCGGAGAGAAGCGAGAACCCCTGCCCATCTACCGACTCCTCGCGGCATAGTGACTCGTCCTTATCCACAAATTCCTCCAATTTCTGAAGCAAATGCTCCGCCCGTTGGTTTTGGCTTTGTGCAACCGACGAGTCAAAAACGTAGTCGCAGGAATTGTGACCGGTAGCGAGCACAACCACCTGGTTTTGCTGGTTTACTAAAAGTATTGAATTTAAAAATGCAAGCACCTGCAATGAAATGTATTAACCAAAAATGTATGATCCGAAAATGAATGTGAGGAAAAATAAAGTAAGCTAGATTACATGGGAGATGAACTTGGAGAAAGGTAGATTGGATTTGACGGAGTTCCAAAAGAACGGGTTCGTGTCGATTAGTACCACTAAAAGACTCACATCATCTGGAAAAATTCAAATAATTCGATAAATATACATACACACTACCTATATGCATACTTGTCAATAATTTTCAAGCAGAGAAAAAAAAAATTAAAAAAATAAAAAAAAATAACCTGTATAAAGCTTAGATGAAACAGGAGTCATCTTCCTTCTATTATCTGAAACTCAACGAAACAACTAGAGTCAAAAATCAACCAGCCCAATGGTAAACCTAGAATTTTTATTTACAGACAGCATAATAAATGTAAAAAAATTGGCAAGTAATTGAAGCCTCAATGCATCAGTAATTGTAATTTAGTGTAAAATTAAGAATATTTTTGATACATTGATGAATTTTACCAATCGATAGTTCTTGGTGGTCGGAATTAAAATGTATACAAACAATTTCAATTCCAAGAGAAATATAAGAAGCAATAAATCCAGAGACGAGATATAGCAGTAACCTTAGATAACGAGTTGCGACGATTCGTAAGCGGGGATGTTATCGGTGATGCTGTTATCTTCTTCGCCGCCGTGGACGGTGGCGGAGGGAATGAAACGAGTTACTTCTCCGTCGAAGTTATTACTGTAAATCAAACATATATATCTAATATATAAACTGGGATAAAATAAAGTTAATATGAATAAAATTACGCTTTAGTAACTAAATAAAATAAATCGAAGCGTAAAGGTTTTTACCAAGAAATAAATAAAAATATTAAATTATACTCCACTTGATTAAAAAAAAAAAAAAAAAATTAAGATATTCGTTGTTGGTTCATTCCCAAACTCCCACTAGATTAATATTCGAATTAGGGCTGAAATTGATGATCGAATCGAAATTAGTATTTTTAGAAGAAAAACAAAAATTGTTCTTTTTTTAAGTGAGAACTAATTCCAACAAATAAAAGGTCGGAAAATCGTAACTTAGAATTTCAAAAATTGGAATGGAAAATTTACTCTAAAATCGAAAAATGTCGAATCGGAATTTTCATTTTTAACCTGTAACATAAAATACAACATAATATTGCTATAATAAGTGTATCTTTTTCAAGGAAAAAAAATTCGAATTTTCAAAAATATTTTTGGAAATTAAAATTGGACGGAAATCGAGACATAGTTTATATTCTGATTTGGTTTCACATTTGTCGATTGAGTGCTGGGGTGTGAATGAGTCGAGCACATGGTTGCTCAAACTTGTTTGAATTTTTACCGAGCTTCCAAATTGTATTGGTTCAATAAGCAACTGAGACAAGTTCAAACGAGCTTTAATCAAGTCAAACACGAAGTCGAGTCTGAGTAGCTTGATTTTTCGATATATTTTATCATTTTTTTCTTATCGAGCTCGAGCTCGAACCAAGTTTTGTAGTTTTTTCGAATGAAAATATGTTTTCAAACTTGGTTTTTTATGCTAACGAACCGAGCTCAAACGAACTTTTAACTACCTATCTTGAATCGAGTATCGAGTAGTTTGGTTTGATTTTCAGCTCTAGTTGAATGTAGACCTATGGTACAGAATCAATCAGCACAATTAGTAGAATATGAATGTGCACAAATGTTTTGAGTTTATCCCCCTTTCTTTTTTTATTGTGCTCCGCTAGGCTCCATTTTTTAGATCAAACTCATCGCATATGATTTGTCTTATGCAATTTAAATCTCTTATTTGATTTGCCATGCAAAATAAATTCATGTATATGGCAAGGCTACATTACTAGCCATTAGAAAATTATCTATTTTTATTTTATTATTATTAATATTATTATTTTTTTGAGTAAATTAAGAAAAAAAAGCCCTAAATTTAGGTTAAATCATGAAAATCACCTCCACCTATTTATAATTATCAAAACCCCATGATGTTTGTTTTCGTTTTACACCAAACACCTGCAGTGTGACTTTTCATGAAATCTTTTTTATTTCAAGAAATCGACTTTGCACAATTTCAAATATTTTCTTTTATTTCTCACCTATTTAACAAATATACACATTTTTTGTTAAAAAAACTCGGTCAACAGTTAGTCACAGGGGGTTATAGTAATTACGAATAGATGGGGGCATTTTTCGGTATTTAGCCCAAGTTCATGGGTTTTTCCGTAATTTACCCTTTATTTTTTATTTTGCCCTCTTTGGAAGGTAAGGTACGTGGGGCATCATTGTCTAGACAGGGTATTTGGGACCCTACATTTTGGGGAATATTATTTAATATTTAATTACACATTAGGAATATGATTAACAAACTAATTAATTATCATCGGATTCCAAATCAGCTTATACTCAAGTAAATTAATACTAACCCCAAAGAAGAATCATATCTTAATCATTTTTTCTTTGGGATAAATAATTTGCGAAATTTACACTTATGCCCTTCAATCTTCATCCTCAAGATTCACTAGTGTTTGTTTCATAAATTTCAATATATTTCTTTTTCAATTTGCATCAATTTAATAAGTTAATTGCTTATTTTTGCTAGATAATTTTTTTTTTAATAAAGTTGATCACAAAATACTTAATTTCGATAAATGACAATTAATTAGTATCCCATATGTTCACTTCATTATAGTTGGGCGTATCTCTAACCACACGATTCAAATTACTTTTAGATTGCACATCGTCGATTAATGTGTTCAAACTCGATTCATTTATACCACAAAATAAATTTATTTTAATAAAATTTCAATTTCATTCTAAATTTACCTCAATTAATTAAAAATATTAATGATATTTTTATGTATAGATAGACCAAATTACTCCATTATCCCAACTTGTGACCAAAAACTAGACTACATTTTATAAAAAAACAAAACTTAAACCAAAATGATTAATGAATATATGAATAAAATTAGTCTCGTAAGAGATTGTCCAACAGTGCAAAATTAGTTTGCGCCAATTGACGCAAGTTCGAATGCCATCGTCAACGGTCACTAGGTGCAGTGGTTTCCGAAATGATAAATAATTTAACATATCGGGACTCGAAAGTAAATATAGTAATAACCGTTAATTTTGACTAACCATCAAAAAGAATTAAAGACCACCTCTCTTACATTGAATGGATTCTAGTACTAGCATTCTTCTTAACATGACCTAACATTAATGCATGGTGGAGTCAACTTCAATTAATTCATAGTGACAATTAAGGTTTAGAAATGCAATTGTAAATTACTTCTTGCATATGTCAAATTAATTAAAAGACTCACAAGTCATAAGAAAAGACACTAATAAGAGAAGGGTATATTAGTCCAAAGGGGCAATTCACCAACCACGAACTGCCACGTGGCAAATGCTTGATAGGAGTGGGGGAAAGAAAACATTAAAAAAACAGCAAAGCGGGCAGTTGCAGAGGCAAATGTGTTGGGGGAGAAGTCGCCTTCCACTTTCATCTGACATTCCACCTCTGCAGCAAAGCTTTTTATTAGACCACCACATTTAATTTAATACCCATTTTACCCCCATCTTTCTACCCAATTTCCCACCGCTTGTCCCCCCCCTCCTCTTTAATTCTCTCGTCGCCAGAAATTCTATATACAACACCACCCACTCTTTAAAACCCACCAAAAAGACCATCTTTTTTTCCACTTCTCTCTCTCTCTCTCTCTCTCTCTCTCTCTCTCTCTCACATGGGTTCTTGCTAAAAAGGTACGATCTTTATAGTCTTTTATGCAATAGGTGAAACATTTTCTCTGTTTCTTGATTTCTTTTACCAGCTTTAATAAGGTCAACTGTGTAAATACTAATGTTTTATTTTTTATTTTGGTGTGTAACTGATTTTCTTGTTTATTATGGGGCTTCACTTCTGTTTAAGCTAATCTGTTAAGATCTGTTGAAATAAAAGCTGAAATTTTTCTTGATTGATTATTTATGTTTTTTTTTTATTGTCTGATTCTTGGAAAGATTAAAAAAAAAAAAGCCAAGTTCATGTATTGGATCTGATTTTTTTTTTTTTTTTTTTTTTGGTTGTCTGATTTTTTTTTGCAGCAGGTGAATCGATTGTGTTGTGAGAGATTCCTTTTTTTCGATTCTGTCTGTTTGTTGCAATGCCTGGAATTGTTAAGGATGGTGTTCATGAAGATGGGGCGGACGAAAATTCGATGTCCAATAAAGAAGCTTCGATTTCGAACGGTGGATTGACTCCACAGCATCCTCAAAATGGCAATATCGAAGTGGCGGCGGGGGTGGATACCTCCATTGACCAGCTTTACGAAAACGTCTGTGAAATGCAGAGCTCCGATCAGTCTCCGTCGAGGCACAGCCTCGGATCCGACGGTGAGGAATCGAGGATCGATTCCGAGTTGAGGCATCTCGTCGGTGGAGAGATGAAAGAGGTCGAAATAATCGAAGAAGACGAAGAGCTGCATAAGCCAATCAGCAGCGACTACCACAGCGATTCCAATTCGAAAAAAGAAAGTCCGTCCACCGGAAAAAAATCCAAGAAAGTGCCCGCAAAATCGAGCCCGAATTCAAAGAGCAAAAGCCCAGCAAAACCGCCAATCGACAACAAACGGGTCGAGAAGAGCGTGAAGAAAACTCCTACTCGAGGTGTTGTTCAGTCGGAATCGGGATTGGACAATCCCGATCTCGGCCCGTTTCTGCTAAAGCAAGCGAGGGATTTGATGTCGTCGGGCGATAATTCAAGAAAGGCCCTCGATTTAGCTGCGCGTGCAGCTAAGTCGTTCGAGAAGTGCTCTAACGGGAAGCCCAGTTTGGATTTAGTCATGTCTTTACATGTCACCGCTGCAATACACTGCAGCTTAGGAAATTACGTAGATGCCATTCCCATTTTGGAGCATTCGATCGAGATTCCGGTTATCGAGGAAGGGCAAGACCACGCACTTGCCAAATTTGCAGGTTACATGCAATTGGGCGACACTTATTCAATGTTGGGCCAGCTCGAAAATTCGATTTCTTGCTACACAACCGGTTTGGAAGTACAAAAACGGGTTCTTGGAGAAAACGATCCTAGAGTGGGGGAGACTTGTCGATACTTGTCCGAAGCTCATATTCAAGCCATGCAGTTCGACGAAGCTCAGAAGCTCTGCCAGCTGGCGCTCGATATTCACCGAGAGAATAATGCCCCTGCTTCTATTGAGGAAGCGGCGGATCGAAGGCTCATGGGAATGATATGCGAGTCGAAGGGGGACCACGAAACCGCCCTCGAGCATCTTGTCCTTGCCAGCATGGCGATGGTGGCAAACGGGCAGGAAGCTGATGTGGCGGCCATCGACTCGAGCATCGGAGATACCTATCTGTCTCTAAATAGGTACGACGAAGCGATTTTCGCGTATCAGAAAGCGCTCACGTCGCTGAAATCCACAAAGGGGGAGAATCATCCAGCTGTCGCTTCAGTATTCGTTCGTTTGGCTGATTTGTACAACAAGACTGGAAAGTTTCGGGATTCAAGATCTTACTGCGAGAACGCGCTACGAATTTACGAAAAACCCATACCTGGAATCGCTCCCGAGGAAATCGCCAGTGGCTTAACCGATATTTCGGCTATTTACGAGTCGATGGATGAGGTGGACCAGGCTTTGAAGCTTCTCCAAAAGGCGTTGAAGATATACAGCGATGTGCCAGGTCAGCAGAACACGATCGCGGGTATCGAGGCTCAGATGGGAGTTATGTATTATATGTTGGGGAATTATTCGGAGTCTTATTCTTCGTTCAGAAGCGCTACTACTAAGCTCCGTGCTAGTGGGGAGAAAAAATCGGCTTTTTTCGGGATTGCGTTGAATCAAATGGGGTTAGCTTGTGTGCAAAGATACGCGATTAACGAGGCTGTAGGATTGTTCGAAGAGGCGAGGGTAATCTTGGAGCAAGAATGTGGACCCTACCATCCCGATACACTCGGAGTTTATAGTAATCTTGCTGGAACATACGATGCTGTTGGCAGGTATGATTAAAAAAAATCGTGTTTTTTATTTGTTTCGGAAAAGGTTAAATCTTGTTACGAAATCTGCTAAATTTGACAAGTAATCTCAGTGTCTTCGATTTTGTTACGGAAAAAGGTTAAATCTTGATACAAAATCGATAAATTTAACGGGTAATCTCATTTATGGACCTTGAGATTAATTTTTGTCGGCATTATAGATTGATCGATCAGCTGTGTTAATATGTGGTGAATTTATTCATATTATTTGCTTTCTTTTAAAAATCCATTATTAATTGAAAAAGATTGCAGCTTTTTTGTCTAAATATAACATGCTACGTAAATTTACGTTATTATCGGAAACGAAATAATCTAATAAAATGGTGTATAAAGTTCGGGTTATTTGATTATTTCTGATTTTGATGCTTAATTTGCAGATTGGATGATGCAATAGAGATTCTTGAATTCATAGTCGGAATGAGAGAGGAGAAGCTCGGGACAGCAAATCCTGACGTGGATGACGAGAAGAAGAGGCTGGCGGAGCTACTAAAGGAGGCGGGCCGTGTTCGGAGTAGGAAAAACCGATCGTTGGAAAACCTACTCGATTCGAACCAAACTGCAAATACATCATCATTAAACAATGGTGGCATCAAAGTGTGACAACAAAGATGAAAGCTGTACAGAGTGACCTTTCTTTTATTACAGAGAGTTTTTAAGACATATTTATACTGTTTTTTAATAAAAAAGAAAACAAAAAAAAAGGGTATACTTGTGATTGAGTTTGCTGTTTTTCAGATTCTTGTTTTGTTGAGGTTTTCTGATTATTATTATTATTGTTGTAGTGGTTGTCACTTGTACTTGTTAATTTATTTTTTTGTTATGGTTTTTTGGTGTACAATTTAATCATTTGTATATTGTTAATATTATGGGATTAATTGTTTTTTTTTTCTCTATTATTTGCTGATCATTGCCTTATCTTTTTTTAAGTTGTATTAATTAGTCCTAGTTTTGGGAAAAGTGATTAGCCAATTATGACTTGTGAGGAACATTGAAGTTTGGAACTAGTGATAGCCATATGTTGTTAAGTTTGGTTTGATAAAGAAAATTACCAATTCATCCTTTTCAATTCCTAAAGACAGTTAGAAATATAGATATGGAGCCCTACAACTTAGAAGTTGTTTGGCTAAACTTATAAATTATCAAAAGGAGCTTATAAGAAATTTAAGACGTATCAGCTTATCAATTTTTAAAAAAATAATTTGAAACTCATTTATCAAACACTTCAAAAATTAATTTTAAAAATAAAATGTATCAACTTATAAGTTCTTAAAATAGCTTATCTCACCTACATGCTTATCAACTGTTTAAATTAAATTTAGTCGAATAGGCCCTTAATTTATGATGTCACTTTATGCATTATTACTTTTTCATTTTTTGGGGGGTCAAATTTTCTAATTTTCAATCGTACTAGTGTTGTCAAATTATCGCGAACAATAATTTAACAGAAGTAGAATGTAATTTATAGTATCGAGTAATCTTAATACGTTTATCAAACTTTACGACTAATAGTTTCGTCGTATTCTTTTCGTATTTTGATTTAAATGAATAATTAAAAAAAAAAAAAACATTTAATGTACCAAATGATATTATTTTTTTAGGTGAGGGAGACACTGATTTAAGAGGCAAGGGCCAAATTTTGTCTTGGAACCCACACCAATAATTCAATCATTTTGTCATCATTAATCAAGATGGTTGGTGCAGCCAAGTCAATGTGTAATACAAAAACATCTTTATTTTCACATATAACAAATGTAAAAATAAGAATAAAAATACAAATACATTCACAATCACTGAATTTAGAAAGTAAAAAAAAAAAAAATCACATGAGCCCTAATTAGCTTATACAAATGACGTGACCCGTCGCCTTTAAATGTAATCGAAAGTGGGCTTAAAACGAATGATTTTTACTTCGAGCGTAGTATCGATTGGGTTACGCTCAATTGTAAAATCGACGGTGTGCCTGAACGAGCTTCGCATGCATACACCGGCCCGGTTATTTATGTACATATTGGAATTCTTTTTCTTATAGATTAAGAAAAGGAAAAAAAATAAAGTAATTAGATAGGCTAGGACAGAATTGCAAAGCATGTAAAAGTATGGGCCCACATGAATTCCAGCTAAAATCTACCAAAACCTCTTTTATTCTTCCATCTGTCAGTGGCCCACATTAATGTACACTAAACACTGATCAGCTCTGAACTTTATTTAGTGGGCCCCATTTTTAAGCTTTGGATATGGCTGTCAGCAAAAGCAAACAATCCCACATTTTGTATTTTTACAGAATAAAAAAAGGCAAAAGAAAAAATATATGAAAGCGAGTTACTATGTAAAAAAAGAAAAAAAAAAATAAATAATATTTGTATTTTAGTTCGAATTATTGATAATAGTCTTTTTTTTTTCTTTTTCTTTTTCTTAGCTTTTAAGTTGACGAGAGCTTGTTTCTGAGTACACCTTAATGGATCAGGCCGAGTGAGCTGGGCCCAAATAAACTTATTTTTCTTTTTTCCATTTCCCCTTTCCCCCAATTGATGGAAATACAGTTAAATTATAATAAATTAATACAGTTGAGACTAATAAAATTTTATTGATTTAACGAAATAGTAAATTATTGAACTAATAATTTAATACCTCTTTACTGCATCAGGACCGAAAAAATATTATTACGCGAGGTTATTAATTTATCGAGGTTATATTATACATGTAATGTGGATACTTTTCCACTTATATTTATCTACGAGAATAAGAGAGTTTGGCCGCAAATGGAAAATGAAAATTCGAGTTTATATGTGGGTCAATCGAATCAGATTTTAGCAGTTTTGACATTATTTTATTTATTTTTTTGAAACTTAAGAATAAATTCAAGTTCAGTTCCGAAATTTTCGTAAAAACCAAAATTTGGATTTTCTATATTCGTAATGAAAAAAATGTTCTAAAACTGAAAATTTTTCGAACTTGTAGACTTCAGAATGTTAAGGTCTCGTATGGTTATCTATATTGGATAAGTTTAGATTAAAATGAGATTTGATTAATTTGATTAAATGAGATTTGATTAATTTCCTACTAACTAATTAATTATTTAGTTAGTATGATGTTCGATATGTAAGATTAGACTTGTATTAAATCTTTAAAACTCTGGTATTATACGTGATTTGTCTATAAATCGTTTTATTTAATAGAATTTACTTGCATTTTGAAGGAATTAAATATAGTTTTTTACTTGTTTAGTTACTCTCTATTAAATTAATCTATGACGGAGGGGTATTACTAATTTAATGAAATAATAGTATTTTAATAGTGGACTTTGATTTTAGTATTAAATTTGAAAAAATATAAATCTTGTCAACCGAAGGTATTACTTGCCCCTTCTATTTAGTCAGTAAAAGTTTATAACGGTAACCAAACGAGCCCTTAATGTTTTATTCATGTATAATATAGATACATATTATTGATAATATAATTATAACTTTTTGGAATTAAAATGGGACAAAAACTCGATATACGATCCCAAATTAAATTATAAAATTAGATTTTCTTTTAGTTAAAACTAAAAACCAATGACAAAATGCACTTCACCCACTACAAATTTTCCATTTTTGCACTTTTCCCCCTAAAAATTCAAAAATTCGATAACTCCCCTTTAAAATATTATTTTGGTTGCACTTTGCCCCAAAAGTCAATTTATGGTTGGCATAGTGCAACAAAATAACATTTTAAAGGGGTAATGTGCAAAAAAATAATGTTTTTTTTAAGGGGTAACGTGTAACAAAAATAACATAAATTGACATTATGCAACAAAAATATTCAAATTTCAATGGATAATCCATAGAAATTTTGCCATCGGGGCAATGCGACAAGAATAACATTTTGAAAGGGGTAAATTCACTTTTAAAAACGTTTAGGGGGTAAAGTGCAAAAATGTACAATTTGTTAGGGGTGATGTGCAATTTTCCCTAAAATCAATTTCGTTCTAATTTACATTTGCCTATGTCCATTTCTTTGCTTAGAAATTGGAGTATAACCAAACCAACCACTCTTCGATATTTGATCACTAGAAACAAATCTTTTGTCAAACCCATTAAACCAAAATCAAAACCCTTCTCAATTCTCAATTCCCTTTCATATTTTCATCAACCATTCTCTTATGCGAAGATTCAGTTAGGGTAAGAGTGACGCCGAACGATCACAACTATGGCAACTCCGGCCGACGCTCCGTCGAGTTCTGCCGAAGAAAACCTCCAAACTCCAGGTTTTCTTCTTCACTTTTCCTCCGAGTTCTTTTTGATTTATATAGGATTTGATAATAATTTTTCATTAATTTCATGTCGAGAGTTTGCCTTCTGAAATTTATTTGAGAATGGACGATCAAGATTGCGATTTAGTTGTTAAATTGATGCATTTATTCGTAGGGTTAGAAAAGATACCCAAATTTTGGTTGAAACTTATTACTTCCCCTTTTTGGGTGATTATGAAGCTGGTTGAAATTTGAATTTAAGTTGAGAGAAGAGAAATATTGGTTGAATTAATGGATTGAAGAATTGTGAACTCTGTTCGGTCAACGGTCAACGATGAAAGTCGAATTCATAGGCAAAAAAAATTAAAATGCTCTTTGCACTCTGTAAATCTGTTTGAAGTATAGTGTGTGCAGCGATCGTTTTCTTTCGTTGAAGCTGATAGGGTGGCAATGGTAATAAATGTTGGAGCCTACGAAATTTATGATAGCAATCGTGTATTCTCGATTTTTGTTATCTGAACACTTTGTCAAGAACGACTGATATCTTGTTTAGTACTGATTGTTATCAAATGCTCGAACCATTTCAAAATATAATTGTAACGATCAAACATAACTTGTATATGTTACTTGAACTTCAACGAGGCCTTATGATATGCATAATGATTGTCGAACAGCATTCTGCATTTTTTCCGTTTTACTCTAGTATTTGTAATTCAAACAGCTGACGTAAGTGAAACAAAACTACATATAATTTATTACCAATTTTTCGTCTTCATTCAATTTTCTGGTGATTTTTCTGATTGTTTCCGATTCGAAATACAGCTCCATGGGTACAACCGCCAACTGTCGATGATCGCGAAGATGTTAAGATTGAGGGTGTAACGGAGAGTTCTCCCACTTCTGTATTTGTGAACTCGGAACCGATTCGAGAAGAGCAAGTGCAAAATGCTGTTAAGTTTCTTTCACATCCAAAAGTAACGGGATCTCCAGTTATGTATAGAAGATCATTTCTCGAGAGGAAGGGACTCACGAAAGAGGAGATTGATGAAGCCTTTCGCCGTTTTCCGGTAAGCTATTTGTTATTTAATCGCACTTTTTCAATATCTGTTATTCGGAGAACTATTTGTAATTGGTTTTGAAAAAAAAAAACATATGATAGGATCCAACCCCGAATGTTACAACGACAGAGCCAGTTGTCAGTAGTCGAGGTAATAGATATTGCTGCTTGTTAAAATCAAATCAAACTTTTGTGTAATAAGAGTACTGATTATTAAATCTTCTTTTTTTACGTAAAGATGGGCAGGCAAAATCTTCATCAAACATTCGGCCTGAAACTGCAACGCAAGTACTGCAGTCTAATCTAGTTGTACCTGTTGGCCGCTCGAAAATGGGGATAGTCTCTCGATTCCATTGGTCTCATGCTTTTCTTGCTTTAGGGTTTTTAGCTGCATCAGGGGCAGGAACTGTCGTAATTTTCAAGGTACAACTTCGATTTGTGAATGCCTTAAACTTCTTTTATTCCAAATTTATATCTTAACTTTTGGTGGGCATATGATATTCCAGAACGCAATCGTTCCGAGATTCAAGTCGTGGATTCGCAAGGTTGTATCAGAAGAAAACGAGGGTTTGCCAAGGAAAAACAATGGGAAACCGAGTATAGCAGAAGAAGCTGCTGCTGCTGCGAAAGCTGCGGCTGACGCAGCTGCTGACGTTGCTCGAGCAAGCCAGCAGATGTTGATGACAAAGAGTGAAGGTAGATTCATTATTTCTCAACTCGACCTTAAAAGGTTTATATATGTTCGTGTTGTTCATATGATGTAATAAATTTGTTAATCCTTTCGTTCTCGTTTTTAACTAGCATCAGTTATTTCTGGTTGGCGTTGGTTGTGTTATTTACAGAGAAGAGATGCCTTGAGGAGCTCATTGCAATGTTAACCACACAGGTACACGAGATGAAATTAATGCGTAACAGCATAAAGAGGTTGGAAGACGGTAAGGAATGAATTGGTCAATCGTTTACACGAAATATCTTATTATACGACTTCATTTGAACTGATCCCTTTTTCTTCCTCGTTTCTGTCAAAAAAATCAGGACAAAGTATAAGTGGAAGAATTGCTGCAGCTCAACAGGATGAACGAAGGGTCTTCCAGAACTCTCCATGGGCGAATCCTCCTCTTGTACCAAAATCAAAGGTTTGCCTGCCGATCATCACTTCTCTTATCTTTCCAATAATAATTAATAAAAACGCGTTAATATTTGGTTTTATTACTAATACCAACTTTTTGCTTGCAACCAGTCTTGGGAAGTTGGTCAACCCCAGGTCAACTCCACCAACATTCTTCAGACTCGAGGTAAACAGTCGAACGCCGAGGAGGCTTCGTCTTGGTGGCAAAGGAAAAATGTCAGAATAACGGATGGAAATCATAATAATGAACGGCCAGTTCAACGGTCGTGGGTCCCACCTAGGCCACCCCCCGTTGCAATGCCTGAAGCAGCTGCAGCCATAAGGCATCGAAACAAGCCATCAAATGATGAAAACGAAGGAAAAATAATTGGTGACCAATTACGAAAATCTACTCCTTCTCCAGATGTAACTGATGAGTTGCAGATGATCACGAAAATCTCCGAGTCTGGTGGGCCCGAGGAAGTTAATGGCGAAACTTAATACAGGTAATTCTGCACTTGTTGAATTCAGCATTTCACACGAAAGAAGTGAATGCTTTGTATCTAGATTAGTTAAGTACTCTGGCAGGATCAAGTGCAAATAGTTGCGTTTTTGGTTGTAATGGAATGTCCATCTCGTATGTTGTGATCGATTGTTGACTCATACATCAAATCATCTTCGATCTTTTTTCTTTAGCAGCGGTTCATTTAAGCATTTTTTTTTTGTTGGAAATGGAAAGAAGAGTTATAGAAATGGACTAATAACAATTTTCTGATTCATAAATTACAAATTTGTAAACAGAAAGAAATGGAGATCAAACCCTGATTTCGACTTTAATAACCAAAGTTAGGTACGAATTCTCTTAATGAGGGTTGGTTAGTGGAGAAAATTCACGTATTGAATGACATCATGAATGCATTGATGGGGGCTGGCCTCTCTATATGGTAGTGATTATTATGATTGGGAAATTGAACATTGTATCATAAATTAGTGGTATTGTGCTTGCAGGACCGCCTCTTGTATATAATCTTTTATGAGTTGTAACAACGTAGAAGAAAATAAAAATAATTAAATTTAAATAAATAAAAATGCTTGTATCTTTTTTCCTTGTGGAAAAAAAAAAGATAGATGAATAATATGACTTAATTTGTCTTGTTCATTGATTTGTGACCAAGAGAAGGTTCATGGAAGTTGTGGTCCAATTTGTAAACTGGACCCCCAAAGTTGTAATAATTGAGGCAACTTGTCAAGAAAGATCAGAAGTCTTGTTTGCAAGTTTGCATAATCATTCTCGTAAATCATAACATTTTCGTAAAATCCAGAGAGATGGCAGCTTATGCAGCTCTAGTTTCTCTTATGAATACTATGGATCATGTCCAAAATGATCCTCGTCTTTCGAGATATCTTGACCAGAAGCAGGTTGAATCTCTTGGTGAGAAGGTTGGTTTCTTGCTTGATTTCATAGAGACTTGTCATTCTCATGGAGGTAGCAGAGAAGAAGTTTTGGAGAGCCGAATTGCATTTGCAGCTCATGCGGCTGAAGATGTAATCGAATCTCATGCAGTTGATGTACTTTTTGTTGGATCCGTCTTTCCTGAGAGAACTAGTTCGATTATTCTGTCCTATGCGTTGAACGCAATAGAAGATATCAAGAGAAAGGGTAGGAAGACCATTTCTCCATGGCGGCTAAAGCTTGGCCTAAGGAAAGTGATTGAAAAGATGGATTCAATCAAGAAAAAGGTTATTGAGATTAAACAAATAAAAGGAAATGCGGTGAATCTCACACATTCACCGTCTCCTACTTCATCAACAGCTTTTATGGGTGCCGAAAAAAGCAAGATGGTGGGGTTTGAAGACGACTTGCTTCAGCTTATGGAAAGGCTCACCGGACGACAACCTAATCGGCAAATCATCCCAATCGTTGGCATGGGCGGCATCGGTAAGACCACACTTGCTAGAAATGTCTATGAAAATCCTTTAATTGTTCAACACTTTGACATTTGTTGTTGGGTTACGGTATCTCAAGAATACAGTGTCAGAAAAGTTCTCTTGGAACTTCTCTCTTGCCAAATAAAACCCACTAGTGAAATGGATGGAAAAGACGAGGCTCAATTAGGTGAACAATTGTATAAATCTCTATTTGGTATGAGATATTTGATTGTACTTGATGATATGTGGAGTATCGATGCTTGGGATAAAATAAATCGTTTCCTTCCAAATAACAACAACCGAAGTCAAGTTGTTGTAACCACTAGACTACTAGAGGTAGCAAATCATTTCGGCTCTTCGAGACATATGATGAGTTTTCTGGATGAGGATAAAAGTTGGGAACTATTTTGTCAAAAGGCATTTGGAAAAGAAGGTAATTGTCCACTTGAATTAGAGGGAATAGGAAAGGAGATTGTCAAAGAATGCAAAGGATTGCCATTGTCAATTGTTGTGATTGGGGGACTTCTTGGAAAGTCCATTAATACACGAGAGTACTGGGAGAAGTTTGCAAAAGAAAAAAAATCAATTCTTAATACACGAGGGGGTGAGGAAAGTTTGGACATATTATCTTTGAGTTATAATCACTTGCCTGCACATTTAAAACCATGTTTTCTTTACATGGGAGTTTTCCCAGAAGATCATGTGATTAGTGTGTCCAAGCTCATCAAACTTTGGGTTGCCGAAGGATTTATAAAACCAAATTCAACTCAAAGTTTGGAAGAGTCTGCAGAGGGTTACTTGAAGGATCTTGTTGACAGGAATCTCGTTTTAGTTCGTAGGTTGGGGTCGACTGGAAAGATGAAAACTTGCACTATCCACGATCTTTTAAGAGAATTGTGCTTAAAGGTAGCTCAGAAGGAGAAATTTCTTTGTGTGACTAGCGTTCTCGACATTCCACTTGGCATAGACAAGGGACAACGCATTCGAATCTTTCATGCTTTTGTGTCAACATTGCTTGACGGTTCTAATTTGGTAAGCAAAGGGGGCAAGTTGTCATTGAAAGTATTGAATGTGGTTGACAGTGATTCTTCTTTGCGCGATATTTTTGAGCAAATTAACTTGCGTTATGTCTGCAAATCATATTCCTTTAGAGCTCTTCCTCCATCAATTTCCTGGCTCTGGAATCTGCAAACATTAATTATTAGAGGCAAGGAATATTTTACTGCACCACGTGAGATTTGGATGATGCTACAACTTAGGCATCTTGAGTTCGATAAGATATATCTTCTCGAACCTCCTCCTTCGGGTGATCTCCAAACTACTTTACCAAACCTACAAACATTTTTCAAAATCTTGAATTTGGAGTTGAGTGAGGAGCTATGTATGACAATACCTAATGTCAAGAAATTGAAATTGAAGTATCGTGATTTCTCAGCTGAGAAGTACCATCTCTACAATCTTGACCTCCTGCATAAACTCGAATCACTAAGCTGCTTTTTTCAGGAAGCACCAAAGTGGGGTGATTTGGTGCAGAACCTCAAATTTCCAAGCTCGCTCAAGAAGCTGTCTTTAAGAAATTCCAATCTCCGCTGGGAAGATTTGACAGTGATTGGTTCATTGCCTCATCTCGAAGTCCTGAAATTAATGGGATTGAATTCGATTGTCGGAAATGAATGGAACCCTGTTGAGGGGGAATTCATTCGTCTGAAATTCTTGGGAATTTACTATTGTTATGATTTGATGCACTGGAACGCAGACCGCTCCCATTTTCCAGTTCTTGAGAATCTTGTTCTTGAAGGATTGTCGAAATTGGATGAGATTCCTTTTGATATCGGAGAAATACCAACACTTGGCCTTATTGAACTGGATGGATGCAGCGAGTCAGCAGCCATTTCAGCCGTGAGAATACTGGAGGAACAAGAGAGTCTTGGGAACGAGGGCCTTCAAGTTCGAGTGAAGTTGTTGGATAATGCAAAAGTAGAGAGGTTTGGAGAGAAAGTGAAAGAAGAATTTGGGAGCTTCACAAGCGGTAATTTTCAACTTCGTGCCATAAACAGGTTTTCGTAAGTTTTTTTTTTTTTTTTTTTTTTTTTTTTTTTTTTTTTTTTGTTATGAATTTTGTGAAGAAAAAAAAAGGTGTGACTGTTTGAGTTGATTTGGTTTGATTTGTAATTTGTATGATTCCGTTTGTGAACAAATTATGAATATTGAAAGTGTGTGTGTATTTATTTTACAGGTTTTGTAACAATTACAAACTAATACAAAACCATCAAATACATTCTCAATAGATGTAAATGAATTGAAAAAATAATAATTAATGTGTTAATATTAATGGAAATCAGCACATTTGAAGAAAAAAAAAACAATCAATTTCTTTCGAAGTGCATAACTAATTCTAATTTTGTTCAAAAAACAAATCGGAAAAATCAGATATCAAAATTTGAATCTCACATATTCACCGGAGTAAAAATTTACAGCATGTTGCAATTATTGATTTCCGCCCTCGAAGTACATACATAGTCCAATCACTCTCTGTTAGAAGCTCGATCGAAAGCTCCTTGACGAACAACATGGTTTGTCGAAACGGTCACGAAGATTATTACGAACACCACTTGTTCGAGTTGCTTCGCAGTGTTGCACCAATTTTACGGCCGGAACAAATAATTTTTTAATTAAAATACTAAAAATAGATTTAAAAAACAAATTAAATTTAAAAGTATTTATTGTACATGATAGAGATTTAAAAAGAATTTCAAAAAAGTTTAGTGAGAGAAAAACTTTTTCGGTCGGTCTTCAACCGCTGCCACCCTATGCAACAGTGTCTTCAACTTCCATCTCTTTGAATTACAGCTATTCCTGTACGGCTCCTCCTCCGCCGCCGCCGCCGCCTTTGGCCGCCACATGCAGTACGTTTCCGCCGCCGCAGCCTCGTCCAGCTCATCGTCCTCCTCCGGCGGCGATCTCGTAATCGCCGTTTCTCTTTCCTCAGTGAACAGCTTCCTCAATGAAATCCGGATCTTCGGATCCTCCGACGAAACCGAATTACCATTTCTGTTTCCATTTTCCTCGACCAATAAATCCCTATTGAAAACCGGGTAAACGGGTCGGATCTTCTCGTGATCCGTGATCGGAGACGACGATCCAGATACCCTCGTCACAAACGCGAACTCAATTTCATCATCGGCGTCCGATTCCGTCACACGTAATTCCGCTGCTGGATTTTCGAAACGAAACTCGTCGGAGAATTCGTCGGAATTGAATTCATCGGCGGTGCGGGAGGCGGCTGCCGCGATTCCGCAATTGGAATAGCTGTTGAAGCTGGGGCAGATCGAAATTAGGTCATCCATCTGCATTTTCCGGCGACAAAAATTTTCACAGTTCAACAAATGGAGAAAAAAAAAACCTTCAGTGTGTGTGTGGTGTGTGTGATTTCGGCTAAAAGAAAGGTGAGAAAGTTTGAGGGCGTTTTATAGGCTGCGTCGAAATCAGATGCGGGAAATTGTATTAATCGCTGTTTGGAGAAATAGACAAATAAAAAGAAAAGAAAAATGTATTTATTATTGCATTCGACTCCTATGTGTTTATTATAATAATTGCTAAATAATGCACATGTTTTTATTATTATTAGCCAAAGTCATATTGATATTGAATTACAAAAATGAGATTCTAAAAGGAACAAAAACTCATCCATAAGGACTTTTTAAGATAAAAACACAATATATATGTTTATATTAATTTCCTATGTTTTTTTTAATGCATTTCGTGTAGGATTATACGAAATGCAACTGCATTACGAGTAATTCTACATGAAATGATTTTTCTTAAATGTTGTTTCATATCGTGCGAAATTACACGAAATGCAAAGATGCAAATCGTGTTTCGCACGAAATGGAACAAAAAAAAACTGATTTTTGGACCATTTCGTGTTGATTCACACGAAACTGAAGCTTCGATTTTGTGTAAATCTACACGAAACAAACTAAAATTTTGAAAATTCCTCTATTTCGTGCTACGAAACATGAAATGAAGAAGTTGATTTCATGCTTCGTAGCACGAAACGTAGGGGTTTTTTTTTCTTTTTTTTTTGATTCAATCATAAACTTATTCTAATCGATGCAAATTGTTAGCTGAACAAAAATAAAATGTTAAATTTACGTAAAAAATAATTTTTTTTTATCTCAAATCGTTGTCGGAATTGCTCATTTAATTCGTGAGAGTTCGAAAAGGGTTTGAGAGGATTTTGACTTTTTAACTAAAACATATGAAATAACGTCCCATTGCAAATCATTTTTTTAGTAAAACTTGTACTACGAATAACATTTTAGATATATAAAAAATAAATAATAATAATAATAATAATAATACAATATGGAAATAAAAGCAATAATAGAAGGAAATAATTGGGTGAGGTAAGGTGCAGGCGCCGATTTTGTAGGTAGGAAACTTGGGAACGTTGATTTGAAAAATGATGAGCAAAAGTCGGTGGGATTAGTAGGCTATAGGGACACGTCTTTTGACCTTTTATGTGGACTTCAACGGTTGGATTTTGGAGGGTCCAACCAAACTACACCGTTTAGTTTTCTAACACGTGTAAAAAAAGATTAGCCTAATATAATATCTTTTGTGCTTTAATTATTTTACGGCTCATTTTCGCCCTTTCTCCCATAAAAATTCAAAAAAGGTGCACTCCTCGTTCGAAATATTATTTTGGTTGCATTTTGCCCCTGAAGCCAATTTTCGGAGGGCATTGTACAACAAAAATAACATTTTAAAGGGGCGACGTGCAAAAAAGTAGTGTTTTTAACGGGCAACGTGCAACAAAAATACTCAATTCCGATGAATAATTAATCGAAGTTTTGCTATTGGGGAAATGTGCAACAAGAATAATATTTTAAAGGTGAATATTCACTTTTAAAAGATTTAAGGGGGTAGAGTGAGAAAAGTTGAAATTTACAGGGGGTGATGTGCAATTTGCCCTTATTTTATTTATAAACAAAATAACCACGTGGTCGTATTATACAGCATTCTTGTTGCTTGTTTATTATGCGTAACCGCTAGCTGGAGTTCACACGCTGGAAACATTTTTTATTCTAGCTTTTGGTTTTATATATAAATAAATATTAAGAATTTAATTTTGTTGTCTTGACTTATTTTATTTTTCATGGTTGATTCTAGAATTTATGTTAATCTCTTAAAAATAAGATATGTGAAATTACTCTGTCACCTATCAATTTCCACTCTGTAAATATCATTTCATTTTCCTAACTTAACTCTTCAATATATACAAGAACTAAGCATAAAATTAGATTAAAAAAAAAAAACAAAAGATTTTCTAAGAAGACGAAAAACGGACTCCGATCGTTATCGTAAACGAGTACAACAACCTTAGGTAAGTAACATTAATAACGAAATACAAACAAAGAGAAACATTGCTTGAAAATCGACTCTATTAATAACAATCTTCGTCATATGTCCAAGTCAGCTTGTTCGATGATTCAAATCCAAATCAACTTCAAAGACAAATTCTTCAATTTAAATAACCGATTTCTTTCGATTAGTTGTTATACAAGCCGTTGCTCGAGGGTTGTTTAATCTGCTGCAGCGAAACATAAATTCGTACATCAGCCGAAGGGCATCAAATGCATTTATTACAATTGAAGATAAACGAACATAATCGAAGCAAAAAATTATATATATATGGATTAATTAGTGTTCGTTCGTGCAAATAATCGGTACCTTTCTTCTATAAGATTTGATGATTGCCATCAACAACTTGTCCCCTGCTACGTTTCTCACCAGCTGAATCAATTCTTGTCTCGTTATTTTGCGATTCTGTAAAATTCAATTCAAAGTTACAAAAAATTACGAATAAGCTTCGTTTAATCAAAGAAAAATACTTAAACGTAAATACGTACTTTGTAATCACTGTGATTCTTCCCTATCAATTCGATTGCATCGCGAGGCAAGAACTTCGAAAGCGTGGTAATTAGAGTTGGAAACGGCATCCAATCGGAATTCGGCGTTCTTGAAGATTGTGACCTCCTTTGATCTCCTGCAAATACAATATTTTATTTATATTATCAACATAATTTTTCATTAATTAAAAAAAAAAAAAAAAAAACTAAAAATCAAGAAACCAACAAGAACTCGAAATCAAAACTAATCCTCACCTCTTCCGTACGAGGATGCCCTAAAACTGATCACGAATTCCGGCAATATATGCGTGTTCATACACGAACTCCAAACGATATATTTCGAAGGAGAAGCTAAATCATCGACGCCCGAATCAAATTCTTCGCAACTCGGATTGCATTGTTCGGAAAAACGAGGAACAGCCTCGATTTTCCCCAATATTACACGGCAAAGTAACATGTGTCGTAGCCCGTCTTCGTCCGGAGAAGCCGATTTCATACTGAAACAAACAGAGAGATTCCACATTAGTTATTTCGTACTAAGGATTATTTACTAAAGATTATTCGATCAATTTGAGAAAAAAAGATTGTACCTTTCGAAAGGGCGATCGACCGGAGAAAGATACACACCTTGTCCGTGTGTTTGCGTATCGACCGGAAGGCCAAAACCATGGGAAACGATCCTCCGAATCTCGTTTTTCGAAGCACCGTACCAAGCGTACTTCACATTGGAATTGCCACCACATTTGACTTCCATTGCCTTTGAATATATGCAGAAAGATTGAAGCTTTGCTCGGCTCATAATACCGGTGTAATCGTTCCTATAAACGGCCTCGACTTCCGCGTTGAATCCACACGAACTTAAACTCGAAACCAGCTTTTTCGTGACAACCTCGTAAATCGCCTCCCCGTTGGAAACAGCGGACAAATTATTACAAAAAGGCCGCGACCGATGCTCGTTGCTGTCGGTTCCGGAAACCCCGCTTTCACTATCGGAAGGGCACGAATCGCTGTTTTCGACATTGGCCCTCTCCGAATGCGGGTTTTGGGTATCGAAATTGTGGAGAAGGTCTCCGAATAGTGTCAACATTGAGGAACCTTGTGAAAAATGTTAACTTGGTCCACAATCAAGAAAATCTTAATGGAAAAGTTCTAATTTGAAAGGGTTAAAGAAAAGTCAAGAGAAATAAATAATACAAGTTACTCTGTACGAATTTTCCTTACAACAACAACAAGAAGACCCATATCTAGGTTATGAAAACGACACCCCAAAAAATATATTAAAAAAATCTAATTTATCAAAAATCAAGAAATTGGGTTTCTAAATTCGATTAATTGGGGAAGAACAAAGGCGAAAATTTGCAGAAATGGAACGAACCCATCTCGGGAATTTGGAAACTTGACATAAAAACTGATAGAAATTTGCACATACTTTGTAGTGAAAATGTTGGTGTTTGTGTGTGTGTGTAATAAATACTAAATCTGAGGTTTCTTGGAGAAGAGGGGTTTGGATTTAGTGATGGTAATACAGCGAAAGAATAAATACTGTATAAAGAGAGAGAGAGAGAGCGAGAGAGAGACGAAGGCACAACGGAAAACGGCCGCCTCAGGTTTTCCTGCAGAAGGTATTTTCTTTTCTGGGCGGTGCGTGTAGTGTGTGAGAGAGAAAGAGGAGAGAGAGAGAGAGAGAGGAGAGAGAAAGTTTTGCGGTTGTCTATTATATGATGGGCGGCCGGTGGTTTTATATAGTTTCCGGGGGTGGTCGGTTATCTTAAGACGTTGGATTTAACAGCGGATTTTTTGAAATGTGGAATGACGGTTTTGCCCTTTGACATTTTCTATTTTACTTTTGTTACTTGGGGGAGTGGGGGACAGAGAATTAGATAAGAATGTAGACAACGTGTGAAATCCCAAGCCAAATACTGGATCATGGCACACGCAATTTTAGGGGGGTATGTTGGGAATTAGCTAATTGAACTTTGGATATGTTTGTTTACGTGGGATCCAAATTCCAAAATAATTTTAATTTTGTTTTAAACATTTTCCAAAAAGAAATGATTTTATTTTTTCTTTTTCCAATATATTAACAAAATTCAATGTGTTGTTAAAGCTCACACCTTCAACAATACATAATTTATAATGATAAAAAAATAATAATAACAACACTAATTTTTTTTTTTTTTTAACAAAATCGATAAAATTCACACATTAGTACGATTAAGTGTATTGTTTGACAAGATATGTTTAACAATTGAACTCGCACGATTTCTCAAGCTCGACCTCAATCTCAAATAGCTTTCATTTTCTAAGTCTGAGCTCAAGCTCATTTTGTTTTTTTCTTTAATTCTTTTTTATTTCATATTATTATTATTTCTTACCATTATAAATTATATATGATTATAAAAATATAAGTAGATAATAAAACTGACTTTTTTTTACATATTCATTTAAGTTTAAATTTGTTTATAGATTCTAGAAGTTTTAATAAAACTCATTATAACTTATTATTACATATATGATGGGGTCAGTTTGGCAAAGTTAAGCCCAACTCTCCACGCTGGGCTTATTATTAATAGATATAAGAACAAAATGTGTAGGCCGAGATGGATTTAATGGGCGCAGAGGCCCAATGTGCATGAAGACATGGGTTTTTTAAAAGCTTGTCGAGAAAAAAGTTATTGATACTTCGTCAGCTCATTCGAACACGCAAAAGATGATGGTAGGAGTAGATAGCGAGCTAAAAGAGAGTTATTGGAATAAGAAGATTTCAAGATACTATCCCTAAATAGATAAAGAAAATATGTAAATTAGAAATCATTAGATAAGCAATCAAAGAAAATATGTAAATTAGAAATCATTAGATAAGCAATCAATGTAAATAACTAAATCTAGAACGAATATAAATATTCTAAAGGGTAAATTCCACTTTACCCCCTCGTACTCTGCCCAAGAACCACTTTACCCCCTCGTACTCTTAATTTCGTCGATTTACCCCCTTGTACTTGTACAATTTCCCAATACAACCCTCTTCGTCAACTTTTTTCGATTTTAACTCTGACGCCATTTGGCCAAGAGTCAAAATATTGATGTAAATATTGATTTTTTTCGATTTGACCCTCGAGATTAGAAAAGTGAAAGTTTCACACATTCATATATTTTTTTTCTTTGCACTGGGTGGAATCGATCAATTTTTGGGTCTTGATTTTTACAAAGTTACGGGCTCAATTTGGGGATATCTTGGAAGGAGAAGTGGTGGGAGAAGAAGAAATAACAATATTGACGGAGGAGAAACGACGCGTTATAGGCAGTGGCAATTTTGTAATTTACAGAGTTGACCAAATGGCGTTAGAGTCAAAATTGACAAAAATTGAAGGAAAGGGCTGTATTGGGAAATTGTACAAGTACAATGGGGTAAATCGATAAAATCGAGAGTACGAGGGGGTAAAGTGACTCTCAGACAGAGTACGAGGGGGTAAAGTGGAATTTACCCTATTCTAAAGTATGAAATGTCTTGAGAAGTCTCCTATATAAATAAATATAAGATACTCCCGATTATGATCATGTCTACGTGGATGGGCTCAGAGGCGACTTGAGTCTTGAGCCGCGCTAGTATTAAGTCCTAACCACGATTTCGAATCGAGGGTTTCGAGTTGGCTGCGATCCCAAACAACCTTAAATTTTTAATTTTAAATAAAAATAATAATTAAATTAAATTATTAAATCCACGGCTCCCATCATTGTACAATGTTCACTTATTCATGGTTATGTAATTCTAGAGTACATTTTGTCAATCACATTATTGAAAGAAAAAAAAAATTTAGACAAGCAAAAAATTATTTAGTTTAGAAATATAATCACGTTAACAAATAGAATAAAATAAAATAAAATAAATAGATTATTACCTTAAAACCCACATAGACAGAATCTCTGTGTATATGCTCCGCCCTCCCCCCAATTCCCGGTTACAGCTTTTTGGCGTAAAACATTAATAACACTCATATGAACTGAAAGAAAAAGGTCAGTTTTAATTTTTTTTTTAATTTCTGAAGATTTTAAGTTGAAATCTGCTTATGCGTGTCTTAATTTCAAGTATGTATGGAAATTCAGTAGAGAAAAACGAGAAAGTTTGATGCTTTCTGAGTTTTCTTTTAATTTGGGCAAATTATGGTCACTCCTCGTGCGGTCAAGTCAAATTACGAAAAAACCCTCGTTGTTTGTGTAATTACAACCGTCACTGAAATATTTATTTTTCTTACGGAGAAATCATTTATTCAATAGGTAAGTTTGACACTGTGAGGATGAATGTGTAAGACAGTGAATAGTTGAGGAGGGTATTGTAGTTACCCAAACAACAGGGGGTGTTTTGTAATTTGGCATTATCTTAGGGGGTGGGCCGTAATTTGCACCTATAGCTGAAAGCTTGCATATGGATTATCTGCTTGACTACTACTTTTGTTGCTTCAAGATTTATGGTTCTTCGTAGTTGGCTGAGTGAGATGCGTGAATATACGCGATAAAATTCATACATTTAGTACGATTTTTAGTGTATTGTGAAGATTTGTCAAAAAAAAAAATGAAAAATTAGGGGGAGAAAATTTATAGAAAAAAACTGTTTAATTTCTGCAGGCCGTGATTTTTCAGTCGATAAGTTGAAGGTGCGGAGAGTGTAATTAAGAATGAACACAATAACTGGTGTTGCGAGTTTGAATGAAACCGGATACTTTTCCTCCGGTTATGGAGGTGGAAAATGTTTAGCCTCTGCAGCAAGATCAGTGCACCAAATTAAGTACGCACCGAATCCAATTAAGGCATGTACATCGAATTCTATCTTGTCATTGGGTCTTGCATGCAAGAGAATGTCAGTAAAACTAAATAAGAGAGACGTACTGGATAATAGTCGAAGAAGTTGCATTGTAAGATCTTTCGTTTCGGATCAAGATCGAACGGTGAAGGTGGAGACTGATCAAAGCCCTTGTGTGCCGGATAATGAGAAGAAGAAATCTCCATTTCTAACACGAGGCGAAATATTTAGGGAAGAGTTCTTGAAAAGGGTTGTTCCGTGGGAGGAAATAACCGAATCGTTGGATACATTTCCTTATTACATTAAGTACGTGCTGTCGCGGATTTTATTTCGATTTTTCTTTTTCTTGAATGTATTTAATTTGTTGCTCTTTTGGGACACAATATTTTACAATATTCTTTGCAGCGAACACGATTGCAGCCGTCTGTTGGAATGCATGGCGTCGCATTTGAAACACGATAAGCTTACGAGAGACCATGGTGGTCGTTTGACTACTTCGAGTTGGCGAATTCTGCTTAAAAGTCTTCCAGGTCAGTTTCTATTTCCGTCTTTTTTTTTCGAAGAAAAAAAAAATAAGTAATTTTTTTTCGTATGGTTAGAAAAAAAGGATTGTTTTTTTTAAGGTACGGGGCTATGTCGGGACAAATTGGTGAGAGCACTTGCTAGGGAGTTGCAAGTTCCACTTATGGTGCTCGATAGCAGCAATTTACCTCCTTACGTAAGAAAATTCGAATTCCGTTTCATTCGTATTTTCTCCATCACTTTGCATGAGGGAAAAAGAAATAAAAAGTAGTTATTTTCACCTGTTATTGAATTTTCAGAATCTTAGTCGAGACTATTCAGAATCAGATGACGAGGATACCGAATCCGATTCGGAATTTGAAGATGAAAGCAATTCGTGTTGTCATCACGAAGATGATAGCACGGATGTTAGTGATGATGATGAAGACGAAGACGATTCCCGAAATTCAATCGAGACTTGCAAAAAGGTAATTAATAAAGTTCCAATAAACATATATTTCGCCTTAAATAACATGATAAATAGAGACGTTGCATGCATGCATGCATGCAACAAAAGCTCGATTACGTGATCAAATTATCTCGATTTAGTATTTTCTGCATACGCCTTTTCTTCTGTATGGCAGTGCGGTTCCGGAGAATCGGAGCAACCTAAATGTCTGCTAAAGAAAGGTTAGAATTTTCTAGTGGTGTAAACTTTTTTCGATTTTTTAAAGTTCGTCCAAGGCGTACAATGTTTGTTTACAAGGCACTGCATGCAACGATTTTCTTGTTTTCTCTTTCTTTTTTAATAAATTTATTAGGTTTGTATATATTTCACGAGTATTTTCGTTGGCAGGAGATAGAGTGAAGTACGATGGACCAAACTTTCCAATCGAAGGGAGTAACAGGTTACCGTCTGTCTTAATTTCGCAGTTATTACAATATTTATCCCTTTGTTTTATTTATTTAGTATTTTTTTTTACGAATAATTACGCATATACATGTACTATAAATTTACAGAATTTTGTCGACTGGACAACGAGGGGAAGTGCATGAAGTAAACGGTGACAAAGTATCTGTTATCTTCTACACGATCGGCCTAACGAAAAACGAAGAAGCAGAGAAGGATGAAGAAAGCTCAAAAACGGCTGTACAAGTTTGGCTCGACGGTACATATTGTGTACTTATTATTTATTAATACCTCATATTTACGAGAGCTCTCTTTTTTTTTTTAAATATCTTATGCTCGTGTTTGTTTTTCAGTGGAGCACGTAAAACACGATTGCGACGCTCAAGTTCACGACTGCTACGTTGCTATGGAAGTACTTTGTGAGGTACTCGTTTCTTTTAGATGACAATACAACGAAAATGTGTTACCACAGGTGCAAAATTATATAATTAATTATTAGTTAATACACAGGTTCTAAAGTCCGAGCAGCCATTAATCGTTTATTTCCCGGATTATTTTATGTGGTTGCCGAGGACTTATGTATGGGAAACACGCGAAAAGTTTATTTCCAAGGTTAAAGATATGTTTGGCCAATTAAACGGACGTGTCGTTTTGATTTGCGGAGAAGACAAGTGGGATGGCATTAGAAGAGAATCGAAACAACTCGTAAGTTTTATTTTTTTTTCACCTTTTATTTTGTTTTCGTAATCTTTTTTTTTTTTTTTAATTTTTCAGAATGCTTCGCTAAAGCGACTTATTGGCGAGTTAAAAGCGACTAGGCGATCAATTGGCTACGACGCATACAAGCTATTCAATAATATTGTGTATATGGGAAAACCAGAGGTGCGATCCTTATAAGAAATTTAATTTTAATTTCCTTTGATGAATATTCTGGAATTTGTCCTAACTCCGTACTGCAGGAACAAGATCTCCTGGACACATTCTTCGAACAAATCGAGAAAGATTGGAGAACCGTGATATCTACAAAGAACTTGAGTGAAATGCACAAGGTACATATAGTACTATTTTGTTCAAGTATATATATATATATATATATATATATATATATATATATATATATATATATATATTTATATATAGTTTATTTCGACATTTCTAATAAGGATATATATTCC